AACTTTATGGTTTGAGGACACTACCATGCATATCACGTGACCACTCTCGTAATCCCATAAATCTCTTTGTTTTCTGCGCGTTTCCCCTCCGCCCTTGGTTGGTCCCAGAGAAGAATGAAATAAAGCGCGAAAGTTGAAAACTCACATGACTGCTCAAGGATGTAAGAGTGTCAAACAGGTTGAAACACGTTAAATCATGTCAATATTGTTCAGAATTTCACATTTATGTAAATGACGACTCTAGCTCCAAGATTTTTGGAGGTATATGCAAAAGGAGGGGGGACGAAGAAAATGATTGGAGAATGTTTTAAGGAAGTGTTATTGACTACTGTTTGAAAAAAGCTTCCCACTGATTGCTTTTTAAATCAAGAACATTTCCTTACTTCCTCTTAAGCTACCTTAACATATCAAAAACCACCATCACTTTTTGCAAAGGTCCTTAATTACCACTATCATTTTCGTTCTCTTGTTTCTGGAGAATCGAAACTATGTCGCTCAATACTTCGCCGTATAGCAGCACTTACTCTGTAGTGCCGAGAAAGCTTTCACTGAGACCAGCTGACTCTCCTACTGTGATCCCGACGTGGGTGCGATTAGATAAATCTACTCTGGTAGCTTATTGGCAGTACTGACCTAACGGAATGCGGGTGCACACCGCTTTGTGCACGGGTGGTGAAACGAAGGTAGGTTCGTCTTTTTCATGTGCGACGTTTGCAAATAAAACTCAGGAGGGGGGAGGGGGAAAACTAGCGCACGGCTGAGAAAGCGTTTAGTCGGATAGACATTGACTACCAATCTTACCTCACTTTAGGCGTCTGAAGATGACGATTAGTCGGAACGTAAGGCCACTGATAATAACACCGCAAAATCTCGTATTGGCATAGAACACACTATGCCGATATAAGGTTTTAAGTTTATAACCAGCCTTTGTTTGTGCAATGCCAATTATAAGAAACAAAATTCACCTAGTCTCTTTCCACTTCTACTACTTCTAATCAGGAGGTTGTTGAAGATCGCTATTCACAAAATGATAATTAGTTAGAAAGCTGTCCATAATATTGGTGTATTTGTTTCAGCTATATTTGACCATGACTAGCTCTACATTATTTTGCTGTTTCTCAACTGTGACATGAGCACATCAGCTTTGCTTTTGGCATTAGAATTAGAGTCCAAACAGAGTTTATCGGTAGTAAATCATAGTACTAATCGCAGATCTACGTAAAGTGGGGAATACTATGATAGTGTTCATAGACAATATAAAAGTAGTCCTGATCGAGATAGAATGTAAAAACAAAATCTAAAAACCAATTTTCCGCACATTCTTTGTTGTTAGAGGTAAGTCTACGCTTCCAAACCTTACTGTTCGAAATACAAAATACTTATCTACGTATTACGTTTTTTTGAAAAGAGGGTATGAATTAGGAGAGTCGGATGCGGCGCATTTCTATCAACCATCCAAAGGATGAAGACGTATAAGACGCATCTTAGGAAACGAAACTTGGGAAATCGAGAAAACTGAAAGAATTGAGAAACTATCACAAACAAATGGGAAAAGAGGTTGACTTTTGACATTGCCTGATTGCATTCTTGAATAGAGTAGATTCAACGATAACACATATTCTTATCAGACATGAAATTTGTCGAAGATACCCCCAGGTCAATCACATGATTCTGTTGCGAGCAGAAGCGCTCAATCATTTCACGCATCTACGCAACCATTTTACACTAATGTAATCAAAGATTATGGCATCCGTTCATTGAAATTTCTCAAAGGATACTTATTTCTAACAAATATTCTTTACACCTCCAGAAAGCACTAGAGAGATCTTTCATTTCTTCTAACCAGGCTATATAAAAAGCATAAATGGAACTGAGCAAGAAATAGTCAAGTTTTCTGACATTTTTTCCCTGAAATTCTTTACCAATTCTCTGGTACGTTTCAGAAGAGACAAGCTAGCGTTAACGTTTACTCCATCACAGATTTGTTATGTTCCTTTTTACGAAGAAAGAAAGATCAAACATTCTAAATTTAATGTTCAGTAACTGCGTTGCATCACCGCAAGCATTGTACAAAGGGGTAGTAATACCTTGCATTCTTTTCTAGCAGTCCTTGGAAGGAGAAGAATCAGCGTTTGAAAGACGAAAATCACATAATCCTGCATATACTTCTCGGTATTAAGCCATTGGACATGAGCGAACAATAGCAGATCGCGAATGTCGATTCGAAGACCCTATAGTAAACAGGATCGCTCATAAATCTGAAAGCAAGTGTAAAACTCCTTACTTTTTCCTTGAACATGACCTCATTTTGTCTTCTCAGCGCGTCTATGTTTGGTGCATATTGCTCATGTACTCGCTGCATCTCGTTCACATACTCGGCCAATGTCTGCATCTTTTGAAGTGCTACTTGGACCTAGAAGCAGATGACTGCAGGATTTGTAATTAGAATTGCTTAGATCTTGGTACCTGCTTAGCTTGAAGGGTATCTGGTTCACAGCAGGATTGTATAGCCCTTAAGAGTAGTGGATACTGGACTACTCGTTGCACGGGTTTAATCATACGCGACTCATAGGAACAATGCTGTTCTCCCGACTTGTTGGCTGCCTGGGACGGTATAGAACAAGAGTTGAGGTTAAATTTTTTTGAAAATCCTATTAATAAGTTGATTGCGTTGTAAGTAATTCTAGGATTGACAAAATTAATGTGTTCATGTCCAATTGTTTTCGCAGATTTAAAGTCACTTGTACTTTGTGGATGATTTCACTATTTGGAGGCTTAATTTAAATATGATTAAAGTGCTCGTAGAGCTTTTCTTAATTTTCCTTCAATATGCGATATCCGAATCTATAGGCCATTTCTTGCACTTATGAAAGGGATATGTCATGACTGCCAGCTCATCAAGTTCTTTGCTGTAATTCAGACAAATTATT